TACAATTATGGGGCAAAGGGAGTATATATAAAATGATACAATTATGGGACGGAGGGAGTAAAAAGCACCACATACTCATTACTCGATCGTTCAGAATGAGAGCAAACTAAGAATCTCTTTTTTGTTGAGCATCGTGTTGTCTCCAAGGGTTGAGAGCCTCTTTAATGGCCTTGGCTTCGGGGGAGTTCTCCCAAGCCTTCTTCTCTGCCTCCAAAACAGTCACCTTATCATCTGAACCCGAATTGTAACAAAATAAGTTGGCAGAAAGAAACACACACACACACACACACACATTATTACTTGAACAATTTAGGCATGCAAATGGGAATTGAGTTGAGTCAGGCTATGCTATCTTTTCAAACATTTACTCTCTAAGGATCAAAAGTGGCTATCACACTTGTTTCGTGATTATATATAGAGCTAGTAAATTACCAGTTGCTAAATCACCAATATAGCAAACCTCTCATGTAGTCACTATTAATCTACGGAGCATTATCTATGTGAGTGGAAATATACATATAGTCATGTATGCATTTTATCGAATCTTAGAAAAGATTGCATTCCAAAAAAAAAATCATATTTTCATTTTGTTTGCATCCTCGTTCCGATGATTAAAATGTCCACAAAGCAAAACCGAGTATAACTCCAACTTTGTTAGGTCTGGGGTCAAATGTAATTGGTATGTGTCCATTATTCCACCATTATACAATAAGAGTCTAATATACCAACTATGGTGTATATGCAAAATATAAATTTTGCATTTTGGGGGATGGTGGTCAAGGTCAAAATAGTTGACTAAGCATCAACTCTTACTCAAAGCAATAGTTTCTCCAACTTGTCTCTTCTTAGAGACCAATCAAGAATCAGCATATTATGGATTGTATGTCACTCAAGAACCAGCAAATTAAAAGCTAGCAAAATCTTTCTGTGAGAATAATACTAGCACACTCATAGCATTCACCATCCCCGTGCTTTTTTTTTTTTTGAGTTTTAACCAATGCAGCACTAGGCGCCAAAATGGTAATCTATGCATAACCTAAAAAAGATATGCACCCAGAGACATGCATGAAACCCACAATAACAACAATCCAAAATCAAATTGGTTACAACAACAACAAAAAATCAATATAATCCCTACTGCGTTGGGGTTTGGGAGTCAAGATGAATGCAACCTTACTTCTGTATAAAACATAAAGAATATTTCCCTTGAAACCTTTATACTCACTCCGTCCCAATTCACTCTTCCCATTTGGAATCTTTTAAAATGATTTTATTTGCAAATTTGTATAGGAATAAAAAGGACAAATTACACCGTTCAAAACTACGAGTACATCAAAAGCTCTACAAAACTAAAGGTGACAAAAATATTTTAATTTGGGACGGAGGGAGTATATTGTAGCACTTACTACCCAAAACTTCATTGAAAGTGATAAACATAAGGGATTTAATGCGTCATTTTGACCCAATATTTACCTCAAAACCCAATGTGTATGTTAGTTATAAACGACACCATGTTAGTCATGTTAGATGTTACAACTTCCGATTCAGTTGAAACTTACAAAGTAAAGAACATTCTTTAGTACATCGATGAGGCATTGTGTATTGTGATGTAAAGATTAAAGATTATATATAATCGTATATAAATACACATCTAAAGGTATTGTTATGTTCTAATCTAAAATTCTAAAACTAATAAAATACCGATAATGTAGTAAAAGAAAAAATATCAATCCTCCCTCCAAACTCCCTTAAACAAATAGGTCCTTCTTAGTGACGAGCATATGCATAAGCATCCTATTCATCTAATGACAAATAGATTGGTTCTTTAGGATGGACCAGATATATGAAGAGAATTCGGGTGTCTTTGGGAACATCATTTCAAATTAACATCAATGTTTTGAATACTTTTAAAGGTGCAGATGGACTTTAAAAACACAAAAAACTAAATGTTACCGTCAGAAAGCCTAGAACTAAAAAAATGCTAAAACTAAATGTTACCCTTACATGGCCTGCTAAGAGGGTGTTTGGGACTGATTTTGAAAATGATTCTCACCTTTTGCTTTGGATAGAACCAGTTTAGGATACTTTAAAGCGTCTGATTTTCAGTTTTTCCAATGACAAAGAAACATAAACCGAAAGATAACCAAACACAAACACCCAACACTATTCTTCAGCGTCGTTTATAACTACCATACAATTTGGGTTTTGAGGTAAATATTGGACTAATATACTATTTAGAACAATTTTGTTGTAAAAATTATCACTTTTCAAAAACAAAAAAAAACTAGGCAACCCTCTAAACAATAAGCTATTGCTAAACTGGAACTTCAATCCCACACCATGCCAAAGCATCACACGCATTTGACAACAAGAATATTGTGACTCAAGAGATAAATTTTTCATAACATATGATGAGAAGATGGAAAAGAAAGAGATTGGGAAAAGGATTGTCCTCACACAGAAGCCAGTTTTGATCATGAACAGCTCCATGGAGCCTCCAATGGCCGCTGAAACAATTGCAATCTTCACGTACCAATCCAAGAATTTCATTTTCTTTCACTCCTCGGGACTGCTCTCGAGAGTTAGAGAAGCGGGGAGACGGCGAAACCTGGAGATCAGGACACTCCGGTCGGAGTTTGATTCGCCGGATACGAGGTCGGCGGGCTCAGACCTACCGGAATACGTCAATTTCAGTGAGGTCAAAATTTCAACAATAAAATTGTCACTTGAATTTGGGGAAGGAGGTCCGGAGTGATTTGAAGGTAGGGATTTGAGAGTACCTTTAAATATTCATTTTAGAGTATATACGGACTACTTATTTTCGAGTATAATTAATTTAAAACAAATAAGTATTTAATTACTTAAGAATAAGTATTCATTTATTTAAAAATGAATATTTTATTACTCGAAAATCAATATTTATCTCAGATATATGAGAAACACCGTACAATATGTTGTATAACATCTATTGCGGAATTTGTGGAGAAGTTAGAGTTAAGAAGCATTTATGGGTAAGCTGCTCAAATGGATAGTGAGGGTGTTTGGGATTGCATTTGAAAATAACTTATAGCTTTCACTTTACTAAAACACAATTTTAAATGTTTGCTAATCTGCTTTAGCTTATAAATTATGGCTTTAGAGGTTAAAATTAAGGTCTAAAAGTGCATTCTAGCAAAGCTAAAAATACATGCTTTCTACTTCTAAATTATGACTTCTATTTTTACATAACTCACCACACTCCCAAACACCCTCAGTGTCATAATAGGACACTAGACTTCATAGTAAAAAAATCTACTATAGTCATATACTTACTTCCTCTGTCTCAAATTAGATTATAATTTTTATTATTATTATTTTCTATCTTTTATTTATTTATGTGTTTTTGTTGATTTATTATTTATAATTTTTGTAGAATATATTACATAGTTTTTTAAAAGATTAGTTTTATTTATTTATATTCCTTCGGGGCATCCGATAAAATTGGAATGATAAAGAGTTTAATTTATTTATTTATTATTATACTAATTTTTAAATAAAAAATTAAAAAAAATAGGATTTTCTTACGTAATTGAAAAAAAATGATCTAGTTTGGCACGGAATGAATATATGATAAGATAATACTAACTTCACATCTCATGTGGCTAAATTCGATCGATTAAATAATAAGGATGAAATAACCTATTTGATTCTACACTCATAGCTCATTTATGTTCTTTCTAAAAAAGAATAGTAAAAATAAAAACTTCATTTGGTGATATCTAAAAAATGTGTGATTTTTATTTTGATATAAACGGAGCACAAAATTATTTTTTGTCATAAAGAATCTTTTTCCATCTGATAAACATAATCTTTGTGGTATTGGATACTCACATACTTTTAGTGTGAAGTGTAAAAACAGGATTCACGTACATTTTTTGAAGTACAAGCAATTAATTCTTCCATAATTTGATATCCATAATGACAATGGAGAAAATAATAAAGGTTGATTAATGATTATTTTGAACACAAAGTTATTCTCAATTTCATTATTTTTGACTCTCTCAAATTTCAAAATCAATTACTAAGTGAATATGTTTATTATACATCATAAATTAGAGAAATGCTCGAGTCACAATTTAAATGGTCACAAAATTTACAAAGTTTACATATGTGAATATAAATTTTTACTTTTAAATTATTTAAAATTATTTTGTGCTCCTAACGAGGTTCACAAATACTGCATATATATAGTAAATTTGTGAATTTTAATTTATAATCATTTACTTTCTGACTCTAGCATTTCTCTATAAATTATACCATACACCGACGACCCTACTTATTGGGTAAATCATTTGCTTCAACAATACTTGTGAGTGAATCAAATATCTATAAAAATATACTCCCTCCGTTCCAAATTATTTGCCACATTTCTATTCCCGAGGCAAAATATCAAAGTTTTTCAATTCATTTTATTTACATATTGGTATAGAAATAAAAAATTATATATAAAAAAATTACATGAAAAGTTATTCAAAATAAGAGGTGTGAAGAATATTTTATTTTATCAAATAACCAATGAAAACGTCAAAATAAACAAAAGTTCCCGGACTGCCGAAAAAGCAAATGTTGTGAATATTTAGGGACGGAGGGAGTATGTCCATTTTAACAAGTGATGTGAGCAAAAATGAAATAATCCAGATTTTCCATCCGTTCCAAAAAAAAAAAAGTTCATTTGGTCTGATACAAAATTTTTTTAAAAAAAAATTCTATAATTAAAAATGATGCAAATGATAGAAAAAGATTGTAAATAAGAGTAAATTTTCCAAAACTAGAAAAATGAGTCTTTAATTTTTTAAAACATTCCTAAAAAGGAATTCAGTAATAATCTTTGTTTTGAGCGGGAGAGAGTATAGTATAACCCATGCTGTAAAAAAAACAGAGTTACACCAAAGTTATTTTATGCATGGTCAAAACCCAAACACCTCATGATTGAGGAAATCTTACCGTCTTTACCGAGCAGTAATAAAATTTGAAAAAAAAAACAAAAAAAGAAACAGGGGAATCGGCCCACCCACCAACCGCATGGCAGAGTGCGACGGAGGAGACGGACCGGGGCGGTGGGGCAGCCTCTGTTCTCTTCCCCGGAGAATAAATCTTTGTCGTCTTCCTCCCCATGATTCTTCCAATACTCCTCTCCCCCTCTCCACTCATCAATCGGGTCGGCGGGTTTCTTCTTCTCTCTGATTCATACCGACCCGTTTTCTGTTTTCGCTCTTCGGAATTCTCTAATAATATGCTGTTCTTCTAACTTCTTTTAATACACACTGTTCTCTGCAAATCCATCTCTCGTTACCTTCTGCTTGGTGCTTTTTCTTGATTTTACGCTTTAAAAATGGAATCTTCAGAACCCTCGGAACAAGACCCCAGCTCCAGTTCAGCTGAACATGGCGATTTTCCTCTTCCGCCTCAGGTTTGCATTATCATAATCTCTCTCTTTTTCTTAAGTCACACCAATTATAAATCTTACATTATAGCTGTATTTTTTTTCGGGGGTTTATCTAAATTTAACACATTTAAATATAATTAGCTTATTTTGTTCAAAATAACAGCTTTTTAATTTCAGCACTATTCAACAGCTTTGATGTAATTTCGACGAAAGTTCAACAAGTTTTACATTTAGTACTCTTTTTTTTTTTTTCTTGTTTGTGAAAAACAAGTTAAATAAATGCTCTTTTTTTAATTTAAAGATCTTCATATGTTTGGAATTAATTTTTTTCAAGATTCTTTGATTTTTTTTGGAAAATGATTCTCCATTTTTGGAAAATAAAAAACCCATTTCTTGAAATAGTTTGACGTTTGTGCACGGGGCAACTTATTTTTCTGTATAAACAAGTACAGTAATATCCTGCATTCAAATGGAGGAGCCTACATTTCAACAACAACAAACCCAGTAGAATCACACAAGACAGCAAGGTTTGAGCCTTGGGGAAGGTTTGGGGAGGGTTTGTGTATGCAGACCTTACCCCTACTTGGAAAAGAGGAGTGAGCCTACATTTATAGACATTAATGGTTTTTTCAGAATGCTAAAAGTTAAGAAATGATTTGGTGAAACTCATGACCAACTTCATTAATTTGAAGGAACTTTACTTCATAGTTCATACTCTCTTCATCCCTCAAAAAGTTATCCAAATAAAGAGACAGTTGAGTTCATACTTCATATATCACGTTGTGCCTTGACTGCAGGCTGATTTTAATTTGGGAGATTCTGCAAAAGCAGCAGCTGTTACCCCAAGTCCACCTGCAAGGAGTTCAGATCTATCCCTTCAAATACCTCCAAGGAACATTGGCATTGGGAACAGGAACCACACCAAGGCCTTGCTTCAATCTCCAGATGTTCCAAAGGGCAGTTCATCAAGTGGGGGATTTTTTCGGGGCTTAAGCTTCAAGAGAAAAGCAGCTGCTAGTGCTACACCTGATAGTGAGAGAAGCTCTCTTCTCCGTTTGGATCCCAAACTTGCTCCAGAAAGCCCTGATTTTGCAAATTCTCATTCCAGTTTGAACGGGAAAAGATGTACGTCTTTACCCGTGACGCCTGCTTCAAACTCTTCTCCTTTTCCTACTCCCACTTGTGCAAAGACTTTGAGTGAACGGCAAAAATCGCAAGTAACTCGGCTTCTTTCTTGTGTCCCTTCAGCCTTGTTATCCTTCTCATTCTTTTGAACTAATGATAGTAATCAGTTGATTATTCAATTGCCTTTTTGAAAATAAATTCAAAAAAAAACTTTGATGAACTTTTGATCGCAGGACATAAGTTTTAGAAAATATTTTCTGTGCAAAGTGTTTGATATATTTAACATTGTTTCACATATACGTAATTTTTAAAGCCTTTATCAAATCGAAATACTCCATAATAATTAAATTAAATGTGTCTGAACCAATATCTATATAAAGTAGTGTTATAAGTTTTGAGCTTACCTTTTGTTTTAGGAAAAATTAATGTCAATACTCCTAGAAATTTGAGATTCTACAAAACATACTCCATGATTACATAATTATCACCAAGGCTCCCAGAAATATCATATTTTTACAATAATACTCTAAGAATCTAACATTGCATATTGATCATAGATACACCTCAAAAGTTCAAGGATCCATGTAGACTAAAAATTCTCTTTTAGTATTATTGTAAAAATATTGAATTTCTGGGGGCGCCCGGTGATAAATATGTAATTTTGGAGTATTTTTATAAAATCTTAAATGTCTGGGAGTATTGATATTAAATTTTCCTTTGTTTCCTAATTGTATTTCTTTCCAATCTTCTTCTCTATTCTCTTTCCCTTTCATTTTTCTCGAAACAGAGTAGTAAAAATAAATTTCATTCACTTAGATACCATGAGATACTCCGTAGGGTCTAACAACAAGGAGGCTGGATTTTTATGTTGCCTTCGGATGCAACTGTATTCATAATGCATGACAAACAGTTTCTGGTTTTAGTCACAGAGGATAGGTACATCTCAAGCTGCTGTCACAAGATCACTTTCTATTGTTATTGTTAGATCATCATCTTTTTCCACCCGTGAAGAGCAATCCACTGATACTGGTGACGGTATGCCATTTAAATTTCTGTTTGGATTCTAGTGTTGAGTGTATTTCAAGATCCTTCTTGTATTTTCAGAAGAAATATCATTGAAGCCTTGATTCCCTAAATTGAAATTATATTGGAAATATGAAAGCATTATGGAAAAATCAGTTGATAAGGGAAGTTATTTTGTGTTTATAGCTTTTACCTCAGAAAATGCAATATGATTAATATTTTAATTTCCTTCACATGTGATTAATGGAGCTACTGTGTTTACTTTATCTTTGCTTCTGTGTTTGAGCCGGAGGTCTCTTGGAAACAACTTTTGTACCTCCATAAAATTCTTTTCTAGTTCAGACTAGGCCCGAGCTCAAAATATTCAAAACCCAGAGTGGCTCGTGGATATTGTTCCTTCTTCAAGTCCCAAATTAACTTAGACCGATCACTTCGGTCCCTTTTTGGTCCCAAAAACCAGATCAGCCCCTACTTCTAGCTCCATTGACAATGGACACAAAACACATTTTAGTTTATTTAGATTTTAAATTTCCTCTGCTTGCAATGTACGTATGATAATGTCTCTTGGAGTTGGTATCATTATGTGAACTGATTCGGGCGTCCTTTTTATCATCTTGTGTGTAACTAGAAATTACAGCTGCACCGGAGGATGAGGATCATGAGATTCCAGAAGAGGAAGCCGTGTGCAGAATCTGTCTTGAAGCATGCAATGAAGGGAATATGCTGAAGATGGAATGCAACTGCAAAGGTGATCTCAGGCTTATACACGAAGAGTGCGCAATCAGGTGGTTCAGGATGAAAGGGAACAAAAACTGTGAGGTTTGCCGGCACGAAGTGCTGAACTTACCTGTTACTTTGCTTCGGGTGCCGAGTGTCGCCCCACAAGATCCCAGATATGAGCAACCCAACTGGCAGAGTTTGAACTCACAACACATCAGGTAAAATATCCAATGGGCATATAATGCTTGATTTATGGAGTTACATACATCTATACTAGTAAAGAATTTGTTTTATTAATTAACGAGTGCATTATGTTCTTGCATTTATCCAGTGCTTGGCAGGATTTTGTTGTACTTGTGTTGATTAGTACGATATGCTACTTCTTCTTCATCGAGCAATTGCTGGTGAGATATTTCGTTCTTGAAATGTTACAACTTCAAAATTTAACCTTTGAAGTTGAGTTCTGAAGTTCTTTTGTTTATACTATTTGTTTTGTGTTGGTAGATTGGTGACATGAGAACTCGGGCACTCATGATTGCTGCGCCGTTCTCATTTGCTTTGGGCATTTTGGGATCTGTACTTGCAGTGATGCTTGGTATGTGCAATGTTTGAAATTTAGTTTGGTGAGGGTACATTTGACTGAAGTAGAAAATTATGTTATTAATGTGTATTATCTCTAAATGCAGCAATCAAAGAGTACATTTGGACATATGCTGCTTTAGAGTTTGGACTGGTGGCTTTGCTCTTAAACCTATTCTACACGACGGTTAAGCATTTCAGTTTTCTTCTTCTTCTTCTTCGTTGTCGTCTAGGGCATTTTTGTCCAGAATTTCTCATCTCATATGAACATGTCATTTTGCAGCTCCATTTTGCGCCACCGTACTCCGTGATGATGTCATCTGTTCTGGGGTTTGGGTGTGCTGTGTGTCTCAACTTTTTGTACATCCAATACTTCAACTGGAGAGTTCGAGTGTCCCAGAGCTCCGACCCCGTGTGAACCCGCGAGATGATAGTAAATGCCCGTTTTGCCCCTTCCGGAACGAACGAATGTAGTGACTTTGAAGCAGTATCATCTTGTGTGTTATGAGGTAGTCAATTCTGTGTAATGTGTATGTATGTATATATTTCTCACATGGGAATCATCATAAGTGGCAGATTATATCATCCACATGAAGCACCATTTTGATTATAGTTCTCCTTTTGGGTTTCTTATTTGTGAAGTGTTATTGACTATATCCACAATTCCTGCCTAATATTACTTTAATCTTGGGAATGACACCAAGGTTTACACCATTGGAGATTATCACACTAGATTGTCATTGTTAACCTAGGTGTCATTGTTTCACCACTTTCTAAGGCATTGACTCTGTGTGAAACGTTGATAGTGTTAGTTTTGGTGTCATCCGTGATGTGATTGTAGAATGATACGAGTACAAAATATGAGGAATTCTTTGGCTAAATACAACAAATTCTAATTGGTTGTACATTTCATTTTTTGAAGCCAAAAGTACTCCGTTAAAACCACAAAGATAGAATTACAAGAACAAAGTCAGCACATCACAAAAACCTTACAAACCAAAACAAAAGATGAGCCTATCTACAAAGGCAGGTTTAAAGTTGTTATTAACATAAATTTTGAACGTCGATTGAATAAAAAAATAATTGTATATTAATGCAATAAAACAATTTATGAAAGTGTTTTGCATAATAAATGTAATAAAATTGTTTTTGTGAGAATTTTAGCTTTATAAACTACTCCATCCCAATTGAAATTGTCTATTTTAGTTTACGATGTTTGATTGAAAATTGTTTTCAATATTTTTTTTTTTTGAAAATTGAAGGGAAATTTAAAAAATTATATAATAAAAAATAACATCAAAAGCTCTACGAAAGAAATAAGACTATTATTTTAAAACATAACAAACGAATAAAAATGGACAATCATGCTTTTTTAATATCTAACCTCTATGAGAAAATTATTACTCCTATGAGACAAATAAAGTAATAAAAATAAAACATTCTCCCAAACCCTCAACTCTCTAAACAGACAGGACCTTATGCAAACTGGAAGGCTGTGAATCAATCAAGACACATTGATAAATAGCGTATTACGTCAAGCAATTCTTGGGAGAGCAAAAAACAAAAACAAAATAGAAAGAAAACTGCTGCTACAGAAAATCACCATCTTGTCTACAAAAGAAAACCCATCATCTAGAACTAGAAAACAAGTGCTTTGTACAAAAAGTTAAATCAAGTTTTTACCACAGCCTAATTTGGTCTTAGTAAAAATCATCAAATGGCAAGTAATCCCACATCTTAGCAATCATTGGCAAAAATAGAGGGATTTCTACAGCTATGCGTGCGTGCCTGCGTTATAGTCTCAAGCTTGAAGAAGTTAGGGTACAACCATTCATGTTGTTTCTTGTTAATGTGATGAGAATCCTCAGACCATGCCACACACTGGCAAGGAAGCAGGGTCAAGTTCTAAAGACCCCTTAGGGACACCTTTCCCTTCTGTCCCTTTCATTTTGAAACAAGGAATCCTGTGGGAGAATCTGAATAGCTCTTTCACAGGAACCCGAACCCTTCCCCGCCCTTCATCGCGGGTAAAAAGACATTTATACCCATTTACCTTAACCAAAAGTGCAACATCCACACCGCCGCTACTACAATCAGTGTAGTGAGACAAGACCTCCACGAATTCATACTCAAACTCTGTCTTGCTCTTAATGTGAGAATGCCAATTCATGTTCCAGTTCTTAAAGATTGCCCATGTTTCGCCCTTTTTAGGATATATGTTATAGGATTCTTCTCGATTCTCGTCTTTTTGGCAGCACACCATGTGAGAGAGCATTGGAAGATGTTTAATGGTTTCTGAACTCCCTAATCTGAATTTACCACAAGAAACAGGTAAACCCTCAATAACCCATTTCGTTTCATCTTCATCATCAGGATCGGGTTCTAACCAGGTAATCTGCAACTTAAATCCAGGCAAGAAAATCTTGTTTATTACCCCATAGAACCTAGGCATGGCATCCAACACATCATAAAAGGCCCATACTTGTCCAGCCGTGAAACACTCTTCCCTTCTCTGTTTGTCAAAATCATTCAAATCCGGACAAAGGTATTCAATAGACATACCTTCAGAAATTTTGCCAGTTTCATTTGTTTTGGGAGAGTTGAGATTTTCAGAACAAGAAACACGCCTCTTTGACCGCTTGGGGCTTTCTTCTTTCTTCATTTCTGCACTTACCTTCCTCTTACCTTCCCCGGGTATACCCTTCGTTGTAAGGTTCACAGGAATTGTTTGAGGATTGATCTTGGCATTACATTGGGGGACATTCGTGCCATTTTGTTTCTGCCCTGGAGTGTTTATCTCATGCGCAATGAATTGGTTTTTACATTGTTGGCATGACAAGACTTTGCCTTTCATTTCTATTAAATACTGATATTTAAACAAACAATATGAACACATGGTCCAAAATGTAGGTTGCTGAGGGAAAACAGAACTGTAATGTCCCCTAGGCTTTTTAACAGCAAAACGTTTCTTGTCAAAAAGGCTGCGTTTTTCATAATCCAATAGCACCTTTTGAGCTTCCCCAATCATTTTAAATGCATCTGTCGCACCGGGGAACTTGTTCTTATCGGGATGAAGTAAGAGTGCAAACTTACGGTATTGTCTTTTTACAGTCTCGCCATTGGCCTTGGGGTCCACCTTGAGAATACTATACCAGTCACTATCGTTCCCACATATCTTGTTTTCTGATGCACAATGCACATCACAGACTAAAATCATCTGTTCAATGTTATCCAGCTCTGGATAGAGCTTATGAGCTTTGGATGCAATTTTGAGAGCACCCGTGAAATCTTTACCTTCCATCTTCTTCTCTGCAATTTCTTTGGCCCTGATTGCTTCTTCTTTGTTACACTCCATTTTCAAAACAAAAAACCAGCCAAACACACCATTCAATTAACAAACATTCATTTCATTTCTCAGCATGCACCTGTCAAATATTAATTACAGTGTGAATTCTGAGTTTGAGTTAATAATATGCTTGGACAAGGGCATGTATCGATATATGTAAAAAAAGGCATGAAACAATTATTTTTCTGTATATGTATTATTGTATTAGAGTAAAACAACACGGCTATGCATCCCACCATTTCAAGAGCTTCATAGCATGTCATCATTATTTGCATCTATTAAAGCTTTACTTCTAAAATTGAGCATTGTACTCTCCCAGTCTCTCTTGGTTTTCATTGCATCTATTCTAGAACCGAGTAAACTACATTTCATTCATTTCAAGGCGGCAACATTATGAGCATGGAAAATATCATGAGACGACATTCAGTTGAGATATTTCCTTTTAGCATACTCACATGGTCCCAAAATAAGGTTCCACATGGGAATTAACACCATTATCAAGAGAGCTATAATTGTGCGATTGATAATTCTGTAAGTGAGAGACAAATGATGTGTAACACAAATTTTTTTTATTAAAAGGAAAGTGAAATCTTGTTTTGTACCAAAAATTATATATTGAACTTTTTACGGGAAAAGGGAGATTTATACTCAATCCATCCCAGAAATACTCATTGCAAGTTACAATGCTTGACTAAAGTCATTTTCAATTCAACTTATATGGAGATTGGTGTACAATTAAAAAAAAGAAATTTATATGTTTAAGAACTACATCAAGAATTTTACACAAGAGGAGACAAGGATAAACAGATAATTATTTTATCAAATGATTGGTGAAAATTGGCAAAGAAAGAGGTCAAAGTTTTATCACGTGAACAGACAACAGGAAATTCCTTTTGGGAAGAAGAGATTATTACAAGAATGATGCTGTAAAATCAACCTTGAAATCAAGGAAAATGACCATAATCACCTTAAGGCAACATAAAACTAACATCCGTCCACTTAAAAATTTGTGTTTTTTGAAAGCATTTTGTCTCAGAAACGATCCTATTTGATAAACAAAACAGATATTCCATGTGATATTCTTGAAATTAGTTAAACACAATATAAGCATTATACTATAGTTAAACAACAAGTAAACATAAAGGCATGCAGAATTCTTAACTTTTAAGAGTTGGACACTGCCCTAACCCCACCTACTTTCTGCACGCATGGTGGGGGAGGGGGGGGGGGAGGGGAAGTAATATACTGATATTAGAGTTCATATTGTTGAGAAAATTTAGTCTGGTAAGTCCCTTGAACCTTAGATAACAACAAAATGAACAAAACAGAAGGTCATTAAGAGCATTGAGCCAAAATTCAAGGAGATTACAAGAAACCTTTTCAATGTCAGGAATTTTAGTTTTCCATGATAGATAAAACCAGAAAGCAAACTTGTTACTTGTATTAAATACTGTAAAAAAACCTACTACCAATACAAATTACATACAGAGTAATAATAAACAAAATTAAAAAGAGAGTTCAACCATGGATGGAAAAACAGTATGGTCTTTTTTAAAAAGCTCCAGATCTTAAAAAATGGATTAGTATAAATGTTAATGAGACCTTAAGAAGGGACACCACTTCATTCCTCTGTTTTCACTGATTGCGAACAATGAAACGCTAGAAAGGTAAGATTTTGAGCACGGAAAGGGGAAGAAGAGATAAAAGCGAAATAGAAAAGCCTAGTAGTTTGCGTGGGAAGGCCAAGTATTGTAGAGCTCCGAACTAGAGAAGAAAGATGACAATGGAAGCTTACCGAATTCACTCAGAGAACGGGAACAATGAAAATGCAGCTTGGGTCTCCGGGCTCCCACAGGCTCGCTCCGGCGGTGTCGATTGGACTCTAGGGTTTTTGATGATTGAAGGTTGGTGGATAGATGATGAAATGCCTCGGACAAAGTAATACTCCCTACACCAATTTTTATTTTCTTATCAAATTGAAAAAAAAAACTAGTGGAGATTAAGGTATATAATAACCAGCTCGTATATATTTTAAATTTTAAATATTTTATAAATATAGTTATATTTATTGTTATTTTCTAATAATATTTTTATTTTTCAGTTTTGGGTTATATTCTTTTAGATATTATTGTTTAAGATTCTTTTAATATTTTAACATAATAGGAGTTTTGTGATTACATTGCACTCCAATTTATTTATGGAGTATTTATTATAAATAATATATTTATAATTATACTTTATATATTACAAGATTTTTTTTTAAATATCAGACATATCACATAATGTAATCAAACCTATTTTTTCATGATTGACATTTTATTCTCATTGTAACTCCTATTTTTGAAATAAAGACATAGAACTTTTTATTTTTTACATTTTTTATATTTTTTACTTCTATTTTAGTCTTTTTCTCTACACTATTTTGACTTTCAATTTTTTTATAAAAATTAGAAAAATGAGAAAAATTTGACTAATAAATGGAAATGTGAGAGTCTTATATAAAGTTAGATTAATAAAACATTCCATGTAACTATTATCCATAATTTTTTAGTATAGTTTAAAATATTGATATTTTTCTGTTTTATTATGTAGATTAATATACAAAAAAATTATCTTATTCATATAAAAAAATTGACAAAAAAATAATGAGTGTGAATCGTAAAAATAGTGAGATGAGAAAAAAATTTTATAAACTATAGTTTTGAACATAACAATTGTAATAATAATAATAATAATAATAATAATAATAATAATAATAATCACATTAAAAATATATCGTTTTTAGATTAATTGGTTGGGAGTAGAAAGTGTTTGAAAGATATGAGAACAGTCAGAAGAAACTAGAAGGAACTTGAAGAGCTGGAAGATGCTGGAAGAAACTGAAAGTTAAGAGTTTAAGTCCTAAAGAACAAGCTCTTAGTCGAAAAAAATTTACACTATCATTTGGCAACAGTGCAACACCCGTAGTTCTCGGCTAAATTCACTCATTTATAGGAATACAGAGTAAGGGGCTGTTTGTTTCAGCCTCTTAATGGTTCAGATGTCTGAATGGTTCAGCACTTAATGGTTCAGATTGTTTGTTTCAGCCTCTTAATGGTTCAGATGTCTGAATGGTTAAGAGATTTGCCTCTGAATGATTAAGTATTATACAGAGTCTGAATGGTTAAGACCTTTTATCTGAATTGATCAGACATTTGCCTCTGAATAGTTAAGCAATATACTAGCTCTTAATGGTTCAGACCTCAGCACTTAATGGTTCAGACCTCTTACTGGTTCAGCACTTACCGATTCAGAAGTTGCCAAACAGCCCCTAAATAATATTATACGTTCGTTTCCTTCCCTTTTAAAACATTTAGGAAATTTCACACTAATATTGCAAGATTTGTTGATTTTATAATATTACTATTAAGTTTTATTTCACACACAATACGCCAAAAAATCTCTGAATTTTACATCGTTACTCACGCCCAACTGAGTGAGCCTCAAGTTTAATTACGTGAAATTATTTCGACTACTCTTTAGCAACACATCAAAAATAACGAAAATACATTGGGACCTCATTTGGATTTTTTGAATAACTAATAAAGCCCAAATGATATCTAGTTTAATTCTACACCAAGGTTCCCATGACATTACCCGGCAATGTCATGGGATGACCTGAGGGCGTTCCGGTGCCCCGTTCGTAAAATTGACAGTTCCTACCCCCTAACCTCCCAGTAAACTCTTCCACCCCGCCCGACCAATGGCACGTGAAAAAAGATCTAAACCCACATCAGCGTTGTACGAATCTCTATTCTCTGTTCTTCAGAGTGACTTCGTACCTCGAAGAGGTACAAGGGTCCAAAAGAATGATTTCCCGAAAGGAACAATCTCAAATAAACCAAGATCCAATTTCGATCCCTTGCCAGAATAGAGAGAGAATTGGTAGGAAATTCAGCCCGGTTTCTTCGAGCTTTCAGTTGAGTCACCGAGGAACTGAGGGAAGAGAGATAGAGCTAGCATATTCGTTATGGTAGTGATTCAATTGATCTGGTAAGCTTAGGTTAGTGGTTATATGCGGCTTAAGTTCTAAACCCACATCAGTGATAAGAGGCAGCGATCAGCGAATTGAAAATCAAGAGACAGTTGACCAACAAGAATTGCATAAGTAATAAAGTCAGTAAATAAAAATAAAGTACGTAAGAAGTAATATCGTATGTAAGGACATTTGACCCTGGTAGGGAGTAGTCCTTTTGCACTCTATACGGTATAGCTACAAACTGAAGAAGTCGGAAGTAGTTCATCGCCGCCTCTGGGAGCTTGCTGATAGTAGTATTCACTAAAGCGAGGAAGGGGTGCGTCATCATTTAGTTAGCAACGGAATTTACCTAAATATGCAGGTCTAAATAAAACACTAAAGGCTTATGCCTTCACGACGTAAGGAGCAAAAACAAAATACCCTTTCCATCGATAGAGACATCGCCCGATTAACAGCTTCGAATGAGTTGAACTATGTCCCGAATAAGGGGAAGTTTTCCTCAAAAAAGATTGCTCCAATCTGACCTAGCTGGCGAGCGATCCCAGTTCGCGACAGAGAACAAGACAGCAAGCGAGCGTACCTTTGTTCGCTTCTTCTCCACCAAGCACGGAAGTTTAAGGATAACTGTAGGTCGGTGGCTACCTAAGGAAACTCCACACATCCCCCACTTCTTTCAATTGCACCCCACAAGTTGATTTCGACATCCACCATTAATATGGTGAATCCAAAAAATGAGAGGACTTGAGGCAAGAATAAGACGAGTACTTGTTTTTGATTTTTTCTAAAGATAATATGAAACCATAAAAAAAGTTTTCATGGGGCATACAATTATGTACTACCTTCAATGTTATCATTATTTAGTAACTTATAACCAAGTTAATAAATAATATTAACTTTACGGAAATAAAAATTAGAAAAGGTTAATGGGGCATGCAATTTTTTCAAGGGCCTTAGTGCTATTTTCCTTAAACAATTGGAGTAGTAAAACTACTAATTAAATTTAATACAACAACAACAACAACCCAGTTGGATCCACTACAATAGGGTCTGGGAGAGTGTGTGTACGCAGACCTTGCCCCTACTCGGAAGTAGGAAGGCTGTTTCCAAGAAACCCCCGGCTCAACCTGCACAAAAAATATGATAGGGATACTAATTAAATTTAATAATAATAATAATAATAACAAATAGTAATTATAGAAGAAAAGAAAATTGAAGAAGCAAAAAAAGGGGATGGGATGGCGTAGAATTCAAAACAAAAAAAGTAAAGAAGAAAAGGAGAGGGGTGGGGGGGGGGCTGCAGAAGAAGACGAAAGATGAAGAAGCAGATCGAAAGATGATGGCGATGATGATGAAAAAGATAACGGCAAATTGGATTTGACGGAGAGAGTGATTTTTTGAATATTTAAATGTACCTCGAAGTACATTTTAAAAAATAATGGGACATGCAAGTCCTTATCACAAAACTGGGGTACCAACCAGCAATTTCTTGACTGCAAAATGTCAAAACTAGACAAATACTTTAAGACAAATGAACTAATTATTTCAATTGTAATGTCAACTAAAATAATTTCATGTAACTAAGCTCAAAGCTGACTAAACCTGACTGGAGTAAGAATGTAAATTTTGGTGATTTCTCGGAGTATTGACATGTACAACCTTCGTCCCTAAGTATTTGTCCAGCTTTGACTTTTTTCGGTCAACTGTTTTTAACTTATGACTTATAATTAAAATATATATGTATTGTATATTAATTAGATAAAATAATATTTTGAAAATATTATGATATAATAAATCTAATAAAACTATTTTTGTATCAATATTTAATATTTCTTTTATTTAATTTGAAATCAAAATTTACCAATTTTGATCGAAAAGGTTAAAAGTAGACAAATACTTAAAGACAGAAAGAGTAAAAAACTAAAAGGAAGTCTAAGAGTAATATTGTATAATCAACCAAAAAAGGTAAACATGTAGTACTATATATCTGATATGAATTGATATGCGTATAGCCAAATGGAGTGCCAATTTTAAAAAAAAAAAATACCCCAAGTTTATTTCGTCTTCTTTCCCACACCGATTTATATATAGATTTCTTTTTGCTTAATAAAAGGCCCAGGACCAGAGCCTAATACCGAGCTTAGTTACCAGTGGTATGGTGTTTGATTCCCAAGCCTTCTTTTCAAATTGAAAAGTGGGCAATCTTAGCAGTCTTGACTTTCTCATTTCTTACTTCAAATAAGGAAGAAGGACAGAGTTGAGACTGAAGAAGATTGCCCCCTATTTCAATTTAAGAGATTTTTTTTTTGTCAGATATTTCTTTATTTATCACATACCATAAAAACATCATCTCATACAAGTTCTCGCTGACATGAAACTATCTCATTTCTTGCTTCATAAGTCATGACATCGACCCCCAAACTAACAACTTGACTTTTAGGAAATATGGTACACTAACCAATGCCGATATTATATGCCATTTTTTGAATTATATTTTTTATACTCTATGAGATACTTATGGTATCAATCTTAGTGCTATCATCGATAGCTCCCATTTCAATTTCAAAGAATTCTTTTGTCAGAAATTACCTAATCTATCACATACCATTAAAAACGTCATCTCATACAAGTTCTCGTTGACATGAAACTATCTCATTTCTTACTTTATAACATTGACCCCCACACTAACAACTTGACTTTTAGAAAAATGCTAGACACTAACCAAGACTGATATTATATGATGTTTTTTGAGTGAAAGTTTTTAGTCTATGAGATACTTAAGGTATCAATCTTAGTGCTATCATCGATATATAAAGAGTACACTTATGTAATGGTGGCCCTGAAGGACATCGAAAGGGTGCGGTTGCACAGGGGCCCAAAAATTACAAGGCCCCCAAAAAAGCTTTAATCCCTTTATAAGGAAGTTTTTTCAAAATTGTCTTTTATTGGTCAAATTTATAAACTTAGAGCATATTATGCAGAAAGAATACATAGCATTGTGATATAAGTTTAATATGAATACATTCAATGATCTTGTTAAACCAGATACAAATTTCCTAAATGAAAGCTAAGATTCGTGGCGATGTCATCCCAGCAGTTACAATCGATTGAGCTAGTAGTAATTTAGCAAGAAGACACTCGCTCTCCCACCGTGGAAGTACAGAAGTGTATTTGGCCGTTGCCTTTCATCATGAGATGACTCCCAATTTCAAAACTTACGGCATTGCTAAAGATGATATGTTTACAGAAAGATGAAGAATAGGATATTTGATTTTTTTGTCAAAGTCTTTGGAGTGGAAAGAGAAGAAGACAGTGGTAAGAGACACCTACTGGTCATTGCCTCCTTCTCTATCCTCAACGAATCTCTGTTCTCTGTCAAACGAAATTCGTTGTTCGTTGTTTCACATAGTGAAACGAAACACCCCAGGCCTCTGACTAAAAAACCACACATCTTATTGAACCTTTTTTCTTCTTTTACTCCTAAAAACTTAAAGAAATTTTTCTAAGATTCATCAAGATACACGAACAAGACGCCCATGAACTCGAAGGAGTCAATATTTTGCCTTTATTTCTTGACTCCTTCGGGTTCATTGGCATCTTGTTTATGTATCTTGATAATTCTAAAAAAAAATTTCTTTAGTTAAGTCTTGATTGAGTAAATACCAGAGGCACACAATCACATAAGAGTGTGTTTGGGATGACTCATTGCTGAAAAAATATTAGAATAATAATATTTATCATTGAATTAGAGAGTACATGGTAGGAGTATATAGAATAAGAAGCTTACTATAATTAAACACTACCATAAATAATTTTACCATAAGTAATACTATTATTATTGTCTAACATCCCCCTCAAGCTAAACTCGGGCTGAAGCAAAAGGAAGCTTGGGCACTAGCTAGTAGCGAACCGGAAATCTCGAGAAAGAGAGAAGTCTGATGTGCGCTGGTAGCTGCTGACGTCGAAGAAGAAGAGAGAAGTCTGACGTGCGCTCGTAGCTGCTGACATTCAAGAAGAAGAGAAGCCCAGCGTGCGTTGGTAGTTGCTAAATTCGAATAAGAAAAAGAAGAGAAGGCTATAAGAGTTGTCTGTTTGATTGAAGATTATTGACATTCTTTGTCTTTTTATTGGATTTAGGCAATTTTGAGAATTTTTATGACTTTCTTGGAGAGTGAGTTGTAGAGGTATTTTTTCCCCTTTCTCTATTACCCCTTTTGGCTTTGCTTTTGTTTTGGATTTTTATTAGTTCCATGAGGTGTGACTGGATTTTGCAGCAACAGTCAGATGGATTCGTATGGCACCAGCCTAGGGCTTTTAGCTAGCCCTGTTTCCTGCGAAGAAGAGACGTTAATCTGGTAGCCTGAGAGGAGAGGGGCGGCGAAGGAGAACAACAGGCAAGAAAGGTTGGCGAGAATTTTGGAGTGGAAAAGAGACCATCGATTTGATGATGTGATTGGACGCCTGGTATGGTGCGGCAGCTGGGAGCTGGGGTCATAAGGGAGCTACTGAATTCAGTGTAGAAGAAATTTTTGTTGTTTGTGATGTTGGAGCAACTTTTTTCCTTTTTTTCTATTTTTTTAATGAAAAAGTGAGTATCGTTAAGTTTGGAGTGGGTATAGAAGAAGACAGAAAATTTGGGTAGGAGGTTGGAGTTTTGGAGAAGAACGAGGAAGAACAGCAACCCGACCCGACGGGCGCCGCCGCCTTTGATACCATGTTGGAATATTGGAATAATAATATTGTTCATTAAATTATGGAGTACATTGATACGAGCATAACGCAACAGGAAGAGCTACGGAAGACGGTCCACGCAGACGAGGGCCCAATGCATGTAGCCCATGCAGACGAACCAACGGGTAAAGATCGTGAGGATGTCCAAGAAGTCGGGCGACCGAGAAGGAACGTATGGAGAGTCGGAGACCGCAACGTTACGATGATTACGTTTAATATTTTTTTTACATCTCTTTTATATTTGTAATTTAGATCTTATTAGGTGGACGAGTTATAAGTCCTTTTAAGGGTTTTCTTTCCAGTTCTTTCCCTTGACGCCTTTGTTGAACCGATAGGGTTAGAGTTAGGGTTTCTCTATCGGCTATAAATAGAGGAGTCCCCCTTACTTTGTTATTCAAGAAATACACAAGTTTAGTTTAGACATAATTCTTCTCTTTTCCCTTCCTTTGCCGTACGGACTACTCCCAAGCCAACCCAACGTTGCGCCGAGGGTTTCCAGGCTTGCGTCGCACAAACTCTCCTATCATATATCCTTTAATATAATATTTCAGACTCGGAGTACCAGAGCTTGACGCGTGGAATGCCTACGTGGAGTTTTTTTGACACGTCAATGATGATGAGTGATGACTTTATGCATTAATTGAATCTAAAATCATTCATAAAAATTAAGTCTTCATATATGTATGGTAACTTTTGAATAATTATTGATGAGCATTTTAAGCAAATAATTTATGGTAACTTTTAAAACTTGATATTTATATATTTGATAAGTTACACTAATATATTTGATACTACACAAAAAATTATTTTCTTTAAGTTCTATAAGTTTCATTTATTTGACTATTTTAATCACTTTTTTACTTCTTTAATATGCTCACTATTATTGTCACATATCATATTCGAAATTATTTGTGTGACCCATATCCATTCTAATTTTTTTATTTTTTTTAAAAGATAAAAACCACAAAACAAACTTGTTACTTGTATTAAATACTGTAAAAACAACCTACTACCAATACTAATTACATACAGAGTAATAAAAAAAATTAAAAAGAGAGTTCAACCATGGATGGAAAAACAGAATGTTTAAAAAGCTCCAGATCTTAAAAAATGGATTAGTATAAATGTTAATGAGACCTTAAGAAGGGACGCCACTTCATTCCTCTGTTTTCAATGATTGCGAACAATGAAACGCTAGAAAGGTAAGATTTTGAGCACGGAAAGGGAAGAAGAGATAAAAAAAAACGAAATAGAAAAGCCTAGTACTTTGCGTGGGAAGGCCAACTATTGTAGAGCTCCGAACTAGAGAGGAAAGATGACAATGGAAACTTACCGAGTTCACTCAGAGAACGGGAACACTGACAGTGCAGCTTGGGTCTCCAGGCTTCCACAGGCTCGCTCCGGCGGTGTCGATTGGATTCTAGGGTTTTTGATGATTGAAGGTTGGTAGATAGATGATGAAATGCCTCGGACAAAGTAATACTCCCTGCCCCAATTTTTATTTGGGCCATGCTACACTTACACCACAAATTATGCCCTATTTGTACACCGCAGTAATACACAAACATTTTAATGATTTACACTGATATAAGTGTTGGTACATTAACAAAAATTTACACTGAATCTTTTATTAAAGAAATGTGAAAGATAAGATTCGAAACATAGATTCGAATCGAGGAGATTGAATACAAACAGAATCATGTCTTTTGAATCGACGCAACCACAAAAAAAGTATACATCTTTCCGTTGTTCTACTGCCAAGCTCAGTCACTTGATAATAATGGATTAGAGTGGACAAATCAATCGATCAGGTCACGTTTGAGTTCAGTTACTTTGAGTTCGTGTTGACCCAAGAAGTTATGACTTTTATTTTTGAAATTTTTGAAATCATATTAACATTTACATTTCGCATAGAAATCTATTATATTATTTTATTTAGAACATTTATGTAATTTTTAGATCAATATTATGAATAAAAAACTAAATATGCACATCCGGTAAGATAATTCTAGAATATCATTAAAACGTCATTTGGAAATCTAAATTTATACACTAGAAAGTAGTAGTAAAAAAAATACCTTATTTTTATAACATTATGTTTAATATTAGAGTAAATGATTTTGAAAACTCGTACGTTAGCGAGTCGATTAGGACGAGCTTGGGTTCGGTCAGATTCGACCAACCTTTAGCGGCTCATTTCAGGTTTTGTCTAATTGGAGTTTGATCAATGGTCAAGTACTTCATCTTTATTCAAAACTCAGTAATTTTGGATCAAGTCTCATGTCAAAAATAGATCGAGTCATTTGTTGTTAGGTCTATATTTAATCCACTAGCCTTCTTTCCAAATTGAAGAGTGAGCTATGTTGGCTATGTTTTTCAATCTCAACTTCCTCAATTCTCTTTCTCTAATTAAAGAAAAATATTGAGACAGAGTTGATACTGAACAATATCACTGCCATTCCAGTTTTTAAAAAAATTTGATTGTCGGATATTGTTTAATCTATCTTACACATCAAAAAAATTATCCTGTACAAGTTCATGTTGACATGAAACTATTTGATTTCTTATACTCCCTCCGTTCTCAAAAACACTTCCTCTTTCATTTTTTCCACTTCCAACAAAACACTTCTCTTTTCTATTAAAAAACCACGGGATGCAGCGGAGCGTGGGGTGAGGCGAGAAGGCAACGGTTGTGTCCTTTTCCAGAGAGTCCGTCCCATTGTAAATACTTTAAACTTTATATCGTCGACTCCTACACAAAACTTGTTATTGTCTATTAAAAATTTATGGTGTCGATTTTAGTTTCATCACCCATAAAAAGTGCCCTTATTTATTGGGGACCTGAAGCTTGTACGCAAGTGAAGCTGTAGTTTTACAAAAACAAAACAAAATATAATCCCTTAGTGTGGATTCTTTTATGATGAATTCACTTAAATAGCACTGATTTTATCTAAATAGTACTACATGTGATTTTTTCCTAATATAGCACTTTTAGTCATTATCCATTAGTCATTATTCAAGTAAATGTTTGTCATCACTGGTCATTATGGATATTATTAAGTGCTACTCTGTATTTAGGATATAAAACAATTTAAGTGCTATTTAGAGAAATGAATTACTCCTTCCGTCCCCCTGTATTTGTCCACTTTCATATTTACACACCATCCAATGCACTTCTTTAATCCATTTTATCTTGTAATTTGTATATTAAAAAATTATAAAAATTATATATTAATAATCTATATGTTAAGACAAATCAAACAAGATCACACATGACTATATTTATGCTTACACATTGAGAGAATTTGATGAGTCAAAGTGCTTAAATGAACAGTTTCAAAAGTCAAATGTGGACAAATACAGGAGGACGGAAGGAGTAAGTTTTAGTGCTATTTAATGCAAATATTTCTTCTTTCTTTTATTACTATTGTTGGTCAAAGTTGTAAATTTTGAACATATTATGCAGAAAGAATACATTGCATCATGGTGTAAGTTTAATATCAATAAATTCATCTCGACATGTATATTTCTAAAATTTCATTTTTGTACAGATTATTGTATATCTATTACTCCCTCCATCCCATTGTATTTGTCCAGTTTGATTTTTTCGAATCAAATTGGACAAACCGACAAACTTTGAACTTCAATTAAATAAAAACTGCATTGAATTTTAATATAAAAAAACTTTATTAGATGTATCGTATTAAGAAATTTCAAAATTGTATTTCATTGTAATAATATGATGTACAAATTGAGAGTAATTGGAGTTCAAAGTTTGTACAGTTTGATTTCTAAAAGTTTAACTGAACAAATACACTGGGTCGGAGCGCGGAGGTGGAAATAAATATAGGTATTTTGCCATTTTTTTCTTGAAAGTTTTTCTTCTAGAGCTGCATTGCACCGAAACGAAAGGATGTAATCACGGTTTAGTAAAATCAGAGGCACAACATTGCATAAGCTCGGATCATTTTCATGGATCGGGTCCCTTTTTATTACTCCGTATTATTTTTTATTTTTTATTATTTACAAAATGAGATCTTTTAAGTTTTAACATTGAATTTCAATGTCACATTATGACATCGGTTCAATCAGAGCACATACGATGCACGGATAAAAAAATTGATACTCCGTAGTATTTATCCCATCTAATCCTCGAGTAAGGTCATGTTCTCATCAACATATTTTTTTACTTATTACATATCCTTATTGAAATCAGGTCACATAAAAAACAATTTCAAATATAATTACATTCAGATCAAGATAAGACCAGACGAGATCAGATCAGATCAAAACTTATTCTAATGAGATCAGAACCACTCAGATCAGGTAAAGAAAACATGGCCTAAAGCCCTAACCCCCCAGGTGGAGTCCGATTATAACGCTTCTCTGCACATACGTCAATTGCAACCCCAAATTTTGTTGACTTTGGAGTCAAACTTTTTGACCCTAAAATCAACAAAATTTGAGGTTGCAATTGTCAACATAATCTTCACTTCTCTGCCATTTTGTGAAAACCCTGGTATTGAAATTGAAATTGAACACACTTTGCCTTCCATAACTACACCTCCCCTCATTCCCACACCGGTTTCCATTAAGATATTCTTTTTCCTTAATAAACCACTGGCACAAAGCTGTATTGCTGAGCTGAGTCCCTCACATGCTTCATTTGAAGTCTAGTTTAATGCCTGGTGCTTTAACCTATAATTTGAAAGAAAAACAAATCTTTTTTTAGTTACATAGTGCAAATGGGACGGAATTTTTGTATATCTCGCACAAAGTTAGAGAGATAGAAACCGTCAATTTTACGAAAGAAGCACCCGAAGTGCTCCAAAACGACTGTGGCACCGCAGTGTCACCGTACTCCGGTGTCACTAGAACCCCACCGAGTATCGTATTTATGGTTAATTTACTTTCGTCTATTGAATTCGTTCACCCTATCTTTATAATCAATTTTCCAAAAAAAGCCCTTAATTGGCAAAAATAGGAAAAGGATTGCATGTATAGTTCACTAAAATTAAAGTTTGTGCCAAAAATAGAAAATTGAGTAAAAGGCATGTTTTTCATACAATTTTTCCTTTTTGTTGAGCACAACTGGGCATGTTTTTCATTAATCATATATCACGAGGCAATGTCTTTTTCATATATTGTAGTCAAATGAGAAGAAAAAATGGTACATAAGATGGCATTATTTCCACAAAGAATCCCCAGTAAAGTAGTGAGGGGCAATCACAATGACCATGCTAGACCAGATACAAATTTCCTAGAAGAAATCTAAGATTTGTGGCAATGTCATCCCAGCAGTTACAAAAAGAATGAACTAGTAGTGGTAGTAGTAGTAGTAATACAACAAATTTTTATGAGAGAGACATACATGAATTATCAAGAAACACATTCAAGCTGGGCGTGAAGCCGAAGGATTCAATATTTTTCCATTATTTTTTTAAATAGTTCCTTTGGAGCTGAGTAGAATGAACAAAGACGAAAAGATATAATCAGGGTTTAGTAAAAACCATAGGCACAACAGCATTCCATAAGAGTGTGTTTGGGGTGACTCCTTTTCATGGAGCAGGTGCTTTGTAGAGAAAGAAAATGAGTTTTACTTTTACTTGGAAATATAAATTGCTTGGAAGGAAAAAATGTAAGTTAAAAAAAGGCTTATAACATTTTTAAAAAAGGGCTTTTTGAAAGCTTACCTTGAAAAAACAAGAGATAAACAAACCTTAAAAAGTGATTAAATGAGAAAGAACTCACTGTTAAAGCACCTGGACATTTAAGTTATCCCAAACAGACTCTAGACATTTACCAAAAAAACAGGCTCTAAAATTGGCTTACCAGGCAATCCTGTGAACTTTTCGTATTGTTCATATGCTTGCCCAATGAACATTTCTACACCGGTGACAATTTTTGACCCACATTCTTCAGCTTCTCTCAATAATCTAGTTATCTTTGGTGTATAGACAGCATCAAACACAAGTGAATAGTATTGCAAGGCTTCCTACAAATCAATAACATGGATGCAAGTTGAGTACCAAATATGTCACATATTGAAAATATTTAGATACAAAACACATCCAAATTGTAAGTCTTTGATTTGAAATTTTCCAAGGCAAACCTTAGCAACTGGGGTCTCGTCAACTTTTGGTTGCATTCCAATGGAGGTGGTGTTTGCTAGAATCATGTCTTTTTCCGGATGGAAATTACTAAGCTCGGCAAGAGACAAGGCCTGTCCTCCAATTACATCTGCCACCTCTTTGGCTCGAGCTTCAAACAAGGCAATAATAATATATGTTATCAAATTACAGAACTAGTGAACAATAATAAACTCTGGCTAGAGTCTAACGAAAACATAGGTGAGATAGTCTCAAAGACCAATCCGTGAGACATATCAGTCCTCAAGTAAAAAAGATGCGCCTTATCTGGCCATCCATGAGGGCTCTCTAGAACCAGCTTGCTTTTTAGCTAAAAACTATCATGAAGAGCATTTTGAGTATGTTTTGAAAAGAGATGGTTTTTAGCCTAAAAGTGTAAGTTATTGGAAGACAAGTGACCTTTCTTACAGAATGTGGGGTCCATGAGACAGTCTCACCCTAGTGTTACTACTAGAAGCTAGGCATGGCTCTGTGGCTAGAGATTGACTTTTAACTAAGCAAGGAATGATGTCATTGTTGCACAATGGTGATATTCAATACATTCTGGAATTACATGAATGTAAACTTCAGTCGCAAAAAATCTTTGGTATATTCCAGTCAGTTAGCACCACTCATTTATGAACATTCACAATAAACTAGTACTCGCTTCGACTATGCTTGTCACTATTTCCTATTTTGGGCTATCCGAAATGCTTTCCCCATACAATATCTCGTCATATTCGTGTGACTCAAAATATTCAATGTCAACCACACAAATCCATTTTTCCTTAATCCATGTGTCACTTTGGCTAGTCCCATACATAATGGGACAGACGGTGTTATATTATTGGGATACTAGTGTAATAGGAATAGTATTAACAAAAATAACACTAAGTTCAAGTCCAGTCCAGACAACATTTGATGAGCAGAATACTTATTTTGCCCCCTAATTGTCATCCAAGTGCTGGGCTTTAAAACATGTATAATTTTAACTAAAATAGATTAGAATCTAACCATATGTACGGTTAGCTATAACCACCCTAGCTCCTTTTTCTTTTGCACCATATGCTAGTGCTTTTCCAGCACCACCAGCACCAATTACCACAAATAATTTCCCAGCCAATGGTGAACCGGCAAGTGGAGCACAATGCGAACCTGAAAAGATGTTCAGAAGCTCTAAGATATATACAGGACCTCATAATTTCAGATTGGTAGATGATGATAAACCTCGCAGGCCATCCTCAATAGCAGAGATAGCACCAACATAATCTGTATTGCAACCAAACAACTTCCCATCTGTATTTCTCCTTATTATGCAATTTACAGCCCCTATTGACTGAAGGGCATTCAAGAACATATAAATTGAATGCAACACAATAAATGGTCAGCACCATTGGGGGGATGTTTTTTCATTAATATTAGTTACCTTGGCAATTGGATCCACATCATCACAAATTTCAAGCGCAGCCTCCTTGTGAGGAATAGTGCAACTGGTAAAAATGCAAAGCTGCATTACTAATTACTGTAAAAAAAAACTTTCCACTTTGGTCCTACAACTATTAGGTTGTTCCCGAATTTCATATTTTTACTTTTGGCGCATGACTCTGAATATCTTGCCACCTTTGATCATTCCAAATTATATCAAAAATTCCAATGATTTTTTCCGGATAGGTGATGGCCAAAAATTCCAAGAAATTCAGTCATGAACAAAATGAAAGTCGAAGACCAAAAGTCGGAATGTCCTAATACTTGTGTAACCTCATAAGTTGAAAAACTTGTTACTATAAAAGCTTGTATATGAAAATCTAGCATGCATATTCTATTCGTGAACCTGAAACCAGCAAAATCCAACGATGAATATGTGTGGAAGAAAGTGGCAACATCATCTACCAGTAAATGCACAAAGACCCCATTGAACCCGGCTGATTTGAAAGCTTCATTGTACAGTAAAGGCGATTTGCTATGGCTAACAGGATTCCCAATAATGCCAAATATCCTTGTGTCTGGTCCTAACTGCCTGAAATTGTACAAATCCAAAAGATCCTGAATAGTTGGCTGCCCAGGAGCTGATACTTTTCCAGCTTCCAGAGTACCAAAAGTGAGATAGGCACCAAATTTCGGGCAAAGTATGCGAGACATCAAACCCTTCTCTCCCATGACCATGGCTATTATTGGCACCTGAGAATATTCTAGATTGTGTAAACCATTATTGAAGAAAAAAATCTCAAATGGAAAGGGTAGAATATAGAAGTGCATACACAGCAGGATGAGGAAATTTATCTTGACTCCTTCCATGCCAAAGTATTTTTCATTTTAGCCATAAAAATCAGTCCCAAAATATTTTTTGTTTTAGGAATTCAACACATATATTCCCACTTTTTTCCTCATTTATCATTATTTAATCTAGAGAGTTAACACATTTATAATTGCAAGGAGAGTATTTGAAACAAGAGCTTCTATTGCATTACACGAGATCAAAAATTACATTAATATTCCGTACCTTGAGAAAAAATCAGAATGTGAGAGAAAAAAGAATGTCCTAATTTTTTTAATGAAAAGGAGAATCATAAAACTATAAATAAAGGCAAATGTCTCTATATGTGATCCCTTAATTTCTGTTAAATTTATTAAAACAAAAAACTATTTTGGGCCAGAGGGTGTATATTTTAGCACATGAAGATGGAGACTAGCTGATTGTCATCGAATAAACCACTTTAGAACATATGAGAAAGGAAAATGGACAATAAACTCAAAGTTTCTTTTGGACATCGAGACCAAGGGTCCAAGAAACATGCCATTACTTACGCCGCTTACTTGAGAGTGTACAGTGATTTGAAAGATACGGGCTACATCAGTAATATCCAATGCAGTGGTTGCAATTTTCACGATGTCAGCTCCTGATGCTTGTATCCTCGCTACAAGATCTCCAAGCTCCTCAACCGATGGTGTGTTATGATAATTGTGAGATGAAACAATTACTTGGCAGTTTCCATGGTTGTTCCCAGGAAGACAACTGTTAAACTTGTGAATAGCCTTCAGTAAAAAAAAAAATTGATGAAATTTAATGACTGACATGCAAGAGAGAAAATCGTCAAAACGTATGATATCTTACTGGAAACAATAAAGTGTGCATGTTACTTTCACGAATTATTTGAAAAAATTCTATCGATGCCTGAGAGATAGGTTAGCCATCAAAATTACTACCAACTTAGGACCTCATTGATTGAAACTTCCAATATAGGTCACAAAAGGTCTAAACTTTGATTTTTTTTCCTATTGGTTATTTTATGGTTTTATACAATTGCATAAATAATATATCTAGATATTATCATAAACTGAGTTTATTTTACTTTTGGTCCAATAGTTTCAATCATCAAGTCCAAAATTTAATGTTTTAATCTTTCAGGTCCCGAATTGATATCTAACTCATCTTTTTGGGTCCTTAATTACAAAAAAATAAATCCAAATAGCTAAATAAAAAGAAATGCAAAAGTGTTCTCATATGAGAACCTCTATAAGAAAATCAAAGCCTTTTGACTTGTACACTAATACAAATTTATTCCCTTGCATTTCCACTACGGAAAAAGCATAAATACATTTTCAAGATACAAAACAGCCAATATGCAGGAGTAGTTGTAGGAATATTAGGATACCTTGAGCTCAACATCTATATAGTCAGCTCCGAGCTCTATTGCCAAGCGAAGTGCATCCAGACGGCTATTTTCATCCCCGTTATACATACCACCTTCCCATGTCGGCCTGCACGAGTGCTTATTACAGAAGTTTTACACAATTGTTATGCCATTTGGACAAAAAAGGATATACAGAGAACTAATGGCTTCTCCACTTCAACAAGCAGGAAACACCATCCATCTTTCCCACTTCAATTTTTAATGTTTGTCAAATTATATTTCTTTGTTCACAATCGATTGTCTACCAAACAAAATGCCATACGCAACACCAAACTATGTTAGGCTTGTGAAAGACTAAACTTGCCCGATCACCATTTCACTTTATATATTTCTTTTGTAGTTTCTTTTAACTTTCTCAGTAAAACACAAAAGAGTTGAGGTCACAGGATATCATATATTATTCGCTCCATCCCCTCTCCCCCCCCCGTCCCAAAGTCAGCTTATATGGATCTGGTTAATATATTTTTGAGTTGGTTCGGGTTTGTTTTTTAGTTGATCCATTCGGGTCGGGTGACTTTTGTCAGGTCTAATTTTAAGAGTTCTACTGTCTAGTGAATTTTGATTTGGCACTGACCACATTGATAAAAAGGACAAGTGCTTAAGTAGGGGCCTAGGGAGACCACTGTCTAGTCAATATCTACTATGAAGGATGAACAAATATTAATTGTATGTTTTTATATATCAGCGAGATTATTTCACTTGAAGGTTCAATACCTCTTTTCCTTCTTCCCCATATTTCTTAAAGGATTGCTTTTTGTACCTATCCCAACATTCTTCCATTGAAGACCAAAAATGAGTCTGGAAATGGAATTGTTGTGGCTTGTTTTGCAGCTTTTGCCAAGATAATTTTTTATCCAAAAACTTGTTGCGTAAAATTGTATTTGCATTTAACAAAGAGATGTTACATAGCCCTCATCCTAATCCTGTGCCTAACAAGATTTGGAAGTGATGCAAAGATCTGTTTGGCACATTCAATCCCCAACCCTACCATAAAAAATTATAAACACCAATCACTTCGAGAACTAGAAAAGAAGCATTCACAATAACCCATAGAGCTCAAAAACTGCCGATATAGTGAACTTGATTAGCAATCATACACTGAACTCAAAAAAATGGAAAGAGCTCATTTTTAAATTGAAAAGCTCTGGTTAAGAGCAAGAGATAGTATAGTCCTAAGTCAGCTTATATGGATCAGTTAAAGGAACTAAACAAGCAGTGGAGTAAGATAACCTGGCATAGAGGGAAGATTGATAACCGTTTGTTCTTTGAGGGGCCGGGTCTAGCACTGTTTTGTATGTTAGCTTGATGTTATCCTTTTTCTCCTCTTTGGAGGAGCTTGAATAATGAGATATAATCCCTTGGTTAAGTTGCTTTGGTCCAAACACATAGTGTAAAAGAACTTTTGTCGATGGCCAATATAGTATCCTCGGCCACTAAACTATGAATCCATTTTGGTTTCTTAAGTGTTCTTTACCCCATAGTTATCTACCGAAATCTCATGTAATATCACTTTTAGAAGTTTCACTGTTATCCAACTGATAGCCACTCAAAATCTGATCTGGTAAACTATTTTATCCAAAATTGGTTAAATAGGGTTAGATGATGCACCAAAAGTTGTCTTTGTAAAACATTGTTTGCATTTAACCCACGACGTTCATGAATATCTCATCAATAATACCAAACTGGCCCCAAAATCTTGTTAAGCAATGGGTTTTCATTTTGTTTGTCGTCTTTTCTAACACAATCTTCATCATTTTGTGGCACACGGGTAAAAGGGAAAATCTCAATAGCCGTGCCCCGGAACATCAAAGAGAAAATAAAAAGTTAAACCAGCTACTCCATTTGATGATTCGATGTTTAGTACATTTACGCCCAATTGTGTTATGTCCAGACTCTTGGTTGACTTACTCCAACTCAACCCTAAATTCTATAACAGCCATTCAAATTAAGATTGCAGGTGCATAGTCAAGGCAGCAGAAATATTCCAAAGACGAAGAAAAAAACCTGTAAGTGAACAGAGTAGGCAATGGAGAGTGTTGAATGAGAGTGGGGAGGTCTGGAAGAGGATTGAAGCTCTTCAAGCTATCCAATCGGACTTCAACTAGATCCGCTTGACTTGATTTCGCCCTACCCATCAGATCCAACATCTGATCCACAGTGTCCGCCATTATCGGAGCACAAATGAGCGTCGAGTTCTTCCTCGCCCCATCCATCTTCTTCGCCGCCCCAGAATCCAAAACCTTCAGCAAAACAAAACAAAAATCCACCGAAACTCATTCCATTATACCAAAACTACGAATTCAAGACTACTAATAAGCTTAGGCAAATGCGAGTACAGCTTCAAAAAATTCACAAAAAAAATGGGGGGAAATCGACCATTTTTAAATTCCTTTGTCCCCATCATCCCAGCTCAACAGACAACAAACAAATAATTCAACGATTTAATTTAAAGAAGAAGGAGGTAGCTGGAAACGTACCAAGTCCATTCCACAAAGAAAATGTAAGTTACAAATGCATATATGAATGTATATATTCCGGGAACCGGAGAAAGATTGGGCGGGCGGGCGGAGGTAATTTATAGTGGAACAAGGTGGGTGGGGAAGGAGAGTTTGGGTGGGTGGGGAGATTGGGAAATGAGCATGGGGTTGGTAGAGACTAGAGAGAAAGAGATTGTTTGGACTTTTAAATGCACTCCCCTAGTCCTACCTACAACGTTTTTTTTATTATTTTTGTTTATAAGGTTTGAGAGATTTTATTTTTAACTCAAATTATTTGATTGTAGTTAAAATATTAAAAAAAATATATATTTAAGAATTATATCAAAAGTTCAACAAAATAAGATATAACAAGACTATATTATTTTATCAAAGACCCATTTGAAAAAAAATCTTTTCAATTAGTGTTAGATATCATTTTCAAAACGCGAACGTTAATCTCTAATGCTATATCCAAATAGATTCTAAATAACTACAAAAAATAAGTAAAGAAAGTGATTAAAATTTGATTGTGTAAATAATAACGAAGAACATCTTATGACGGAAGAAGTGCTGATATTTTTTTTATTTATTAACGTACCCTAAATCTAACAAGAACTCCCTGATGCAACATTTATAAAAATTTAGGAACCGTTGTTTTTTTTTTTTTGAAAAATCCAGGGGGTAAATGCACAAAAAAAAGTTAGAAGAAAATCTTTTGAAGATGAAGAGAGAACAATATTTGATATAAATCTTTTAAATTCTAAAACTAAATTAAACTACCCTAGCGAATGGGAATACTACTAATGAATATTCAATAGTAATCTGAGAAAAGTTGAATTAAACTACTCTATTTGTCTCTAAATACATTACACTTTATGCAAAATAAAATAAATTTTTAAATTTTTTCAATTCATTTTATTTAAAGATTAGTACTCCGTATAAAAATAAGACATTAAAATTACATTTTCAAAAAACACATCAAAAATTATACTCCACACAAAATAAAAGATAACAAAAATATTTTATTTCACCAAATAATCAAATGAAAACACACAAACAAATAAAAAAATTCCATGACTTTTGAAATAGTGAACAATATAAACCTTTGTAAGTAAGAGGGAGTATAGTTTTCTCTAGTAAGTGCAAAAACTTCATGTCTAACATAGTTATCCTTTTTTGAGGAAACAATAATAATAATAAATAATAATAATAATAGTAGTAATAATAATAATAATAATAATAATAATAATAATAATATGCGTTACCTATTGTTGAAATAAAACTCAGAAAAGAGTTGTGTAGAAAACAAACTACTAACTTATTGTCTTGAAAGTGTTGACAAGCAAAAAAGAAGGTAGATAAAAAACAGTCACAAGTTGCTATAGAGACTCTACTACATACCAGTACTTGAGTTTATGAACCCATCCCAATATAAAAGCTCATGAAAGGCATCAAATTGAAAGAAAGAAAGAAAAAAACAGAGATACAAGTGAACAACAATTCCTTTTATTCCGACTTCACTTCCGCCATTCTTCTTTTAGTTCATTCGGACGCGCTCAGGCCAATGATACCTGCACAAAGAAGTTGTTTTCTTAGGCTATGTGTGCAATGGGGAAAATGATAGGGAAATAGTTTTTCTTCTCTATATGTTCTGTTTTTTTCTTCTTAACTAGGGAAATATGAGGAAAACAAATTGGATTAAACCGTTTGTACGTTTGACATGAACGTTTGTATTTCTTAGGGATTACTCATTTACTCCCTCTATCCCCAAAAAGATGTGCCTACTAGACTCTTTCTTGGTCTCCAATTTCACAAACTTCGACTAAAATTTGTGAGAAAAATAAATTTAGTTGCAATGTGAAAACAGTGTCATCATATTCATTTGGAAACATAGTTTTAAATTTTCATATTTGTAAAAGGTTTAGTTATGTACAAAAATAGTTAGTGATCGTTTAAGTGCTGTATCAACGACTGAAAGGGTGCATCTTTTTTGGGATAGAGGGAGCCTATAATAGAAACACATGATGACATGAATAAAATTGAGCTTGAGAAAATATTCCGAGTATCTAAATTTGATTTACTAAGTTCTTGTCAAATTTTATGCGTACCCAGATTTTCTTTCCTTTGCAAATTTTCCCTTTATTTTCCTCGTTTTCTTTCTTTAGCAGTTTCACATTTTCCAAGTTCTATACAGTACTTTAACTGGACTTGGAAAACTTTACCTTGTGTGTATGCATATTCTATGATAGACAAATCAATTATTCAAGGAACAAAACATAGACACCAACATAATGACCTAATAATGACCCAATTTCGAAACATATTAATATAGCATAAAAGTTAAGGGATATACTTACCACACGCAACCCTCCCGCCAGCATTTCCAGTTGATTTGCTGAGCTCATGGCCACCTAAGTAGAGCAGCAAGAGTATACGTATTACAGACACAGAAAGCACATGTGATATAATGAACAAAGAATGGAATCTTTCACTTGGGGTGGGGGTGGGGACAAACTGATAGAAAGAAAAATATATTAACGCTCTGTTTGGTAGGCAAAAGTGTCTTGTTCTTCTTATTCTCTTTGTCACTAAAAGTAGTTTTGGTTGCTGTTTACGATGTTTGACTAAAATTATGGTGAATTCTTTTGTAGTTGTTATAGAATTAGAAAAATGTATATAAAATGTATACATTTAAAAACTAAAGCAAAAGTTCTACAAAACACAAGGTAAAACTTGAAGGAAAGAAGATGCAGTTTGACCCAATGAAAGTGACCATGAGGTTCTTTTAGGGACGGAGGTAGCATGAGAAGAATATACAAAATGCACAATGAGTAGTGGTGCACTTATTCCATTGAAATGGATGCTATCAAACCCTTAAAATACAGTGTCTTNTGGTATCCAAAAGTGGTTATTCTGCTTAGGGTAGGATAAGTAGATTTACATTTATTTGGCTGAGATGGATACTATTATGTTACCATGCTTTTTTCTTTTAAAAATTAGTAGATCCAATCATTTTAATTTTTTAACTAAGAAACAGATTCCTTTAATATTTGAAGCAAAATAAAGGTTATAAGTATTAAATTTCATATTTACGAATGAAATCAGAAATTACATTGCAAAACAAAGCAAATCATAATATATTAAAAAAGGCACACTGAGTGTTGGAGAACTTCACCTTTCCCAAGATCATCAGGATCAGCATGAACTACTACAGCTCTTCCAATGATAGAATTTGGTCCAGTGAGAGGAATCTTCAGAGGTTAACAGAAATACAACATTATGAGATATGCCAAAAATGGAAAAAGTGAAACATGTTTCATTTTGTGTAAATCTAAACGCAGCTAAATATGGTGATTCACCTGACTGTCAGTGATGGTAAAACAAGCAGTACCTGAAACATTTTGATGTATAAGTGTCAGAACTCAGAACAGAAGTACAAATTGTGGAAAGCATAGAAAATTTCAATGCAGTGAAACAAATGCATAGCAATTCCCCAGGAATTATAATAACAGGCCACTTCATTTAAAGAACTTTAAGGTGAATGAGATCATATTAAATGTAGGCTGAACTTTTTATTATAAACGTCATAGTACACAAAAATGCAGCACACCAGTGTGTCAAAAACTCAAGAAACAGTGAAACAAAGAAAAGAGCAAATGAGACCCATACCCAAATACTTCTATAGTGCAAAGAAATGGAGAGAATTTTTTCCCTTTTGTGACCATCTGTACCACTTCTCTAACATTTCAAAGCAGAATGTTATGGGTATTATACTGTCTTCGTCTTGTATATCTTTTAACGTGAAATACATTTCTTTACTTACTTTTCACTCCCATTTCTCTCATAGATACACACCAAATACATAAATCCACTCTTTTTCTCAACTTTCTTTCTTGACACATTTTATCCTTTATTTCTCTCTTCACTATATATTCTATTAACCATAACAAAGCCTTGGAGATAACATACACTGAACAAGTATGCTATAACTTCTAGTCATAAGGGATGTGCCTCTTAACAAGTTGCTATACAGCATTCCAGACTAAAAGATATATCAACAATTGAATAAATAAATCTCACCATCTTGTCCAACTGTGATGTTTCCAAGATCACCGGCATGGCGAATTTCATCATCAGGAGCCCCATGATGGTTCCCCTTTGGATTGAAATGTGGTCCTGCACATTTATATGATTTGAAGCATTATACAAGAAGCAGGTGAACTCAAAGAATAATCAGGTATCTAATTAAGTAATGGCCAAAAAAGAGGAAACAAGTACTCCCTCCATCGCTATTTATCTGCCTAGTTTGATCAAATCACACAGTTTAAGAAAATGAAATGGAATGAAAATTAATCAAACCTTTTAAAATTTTTCTAAAATGCTCTTAAACAAGTTAATCTCGCATTTATGTTACTCTTGGAAAACAGTAGCTTAAATAGCACTAATTGGGAACATAATTAACACAGAAACTTTATAAATGAACAGCTAAAACAAACAAACAAGAAAAATTGGTCAAACTAGACTATAAAAGGGAGTAATGATTTCAGTAATAGTGAAAAAATGGTTGATTCAATTACCTGTGGACAAACAGCCATTTGTTGTGTCACCAAGAGCATGGACATGGAAGCCATGAAGACCAGGTTTAAGGCCAGTTACATTTCCAGTAACTGTAGTTGGACCTGAGACAAAGAGAACCCTTCAAGAGTTCATCAAATGAACAAGCAGTTGCTCTAAGTTAAAAATAATATTAAAACAAAGAGTACCATCTCCAACATGGGTGAATTGAATGGTTCCAGTGACACCTTCACTGCTGTTAAGAACTGCTACAGCCTTCACCGTGTTTGCCATTTTTGTTTGTTATTTGTGATCTAGACAATTAAATAAACAACAGTATATTACCAATTTAACATGAATCCAGAGCCACATATAACCGTAGGCAGATAATAAAGCTCCACAGATAAGATGACACAGCCAGGCAAGTAAAACCAACAAACCATTCATCTGAACTCTAAATCAAACAACACCAAAACCAGTGCATTTCTGACATATATTTGAAACCATGAAACAGATGTAAGTGCAAACCCAGAACTCCTCAGTCCCAATTCCATAGATAATATTGACCACATAAATCCCAATTCAAAGGCATTTAATTATCCGAGAGGCATTCTTTATTTGTCATCCAAATGTACCATAGAGGTTGATACAGCCTCTTTGTAACATATACCCCGTATATAATTGGGGCAAATGAGGGGTGGATAGTTGCTCATCAGGACAAACGAAAAACATAAGGTGTGCTACTCATTGCTTATTTCTCATCAAATTCCCTTGTTCAACCATCAACCCCAATCATGTCAAAGAACCTTTACATATCTAAAAGATTTACCAGGCAATCACTTTGACTTTTTGAGTCCCATGTCAACTTTTATTGTCGTCTAAAGGAAATGAGGAATTGACTGCTTTAAACGGAGAAGGTGAAAAAAAGGTTGATAAATTGTACTCCGGTACGAGGTTAGAGTATGCGAGTTTAAATCCACAATGGTCAAAACATTTCCAAAGGGTTATGAATTGATTGATTGATTGAAGGCATAATAATCTAAAAGTTGAGTTTGTACCTTCAATTCATATCTGTTTGGAAATGTTTGACTATTGAAAATTTTCACACAGGGGCTCTAGCCTCCTTTTCATGTAAATTTTCAAGCTTCTCTTCACCATCTCCTTCCGGTGAACCAACCAACCAATTCCTCTGGGATCTTCTCATGGCAATTATAAAGGTTGATGTAGGATTGAAATTATTAACTCAGTCACATAGTTATATACGTTTAGAAACAAGGTTGAGCAGGTATGAAACGGTTCTTAGACGTTGTTAGGGTTGATGGGTGAACGAGAGAATTCCCATGAGAAACAAGAAATGATTAGCACGCGAATCAGTAGGTAATGTCACAGAGCGGCTGGTAAAGATGATATAAAGAAAGTCAACTGCATAAATCTCAAATCAGTAAGGGAATATCTCTTGGAATAATATGCAACTTCGCACGAAAAAGCGAATGAAAAAGCTCCCCGCAATCACAAACAAACGCTTCATTTCTCAATCTTATTTCCAAGCAATGAAAACTCGAAACAATACACATACGACTGATTATCACTTGATCAGCCCGATCAGACGGCCTAAAAGGGGACAGAGAACAAATAAACGCACAAAGGAAACCCCTAATGATACAAATTGGGTGCGAATTCACAGATCAAACCTCTTACGGATCGATCGAAATGGATTATCGACTATTCGACCGGAGCGAAAGAACAACATGAAAATCGAAATCGATCGATCCCAACGCATTACAACACACAAACAAGCACATCGACGATCAGATTCAACTGGGAAATGTTAGAAACGTTTTACCTCAGAACACCCCTGGGTAGACTGAAGGAGAAGGTGTAGAGTGAGTCAACTCGCGCAATCCAAAAGACTGAATATGTATGTATGTGTAAGAAGGGTGGGTGGGGGTTTCAGCTTTCTAGTAAGTTCGCTGCCGGGCGGGGTAGGTCATAGGTGGGTGGCGGGCAGAAGTGATGCGGATGAATCATTCTAGTTGGACAAAAAAAGGAAATTCTCAAAATAATATTTAATAATTATGTATTTTCTTAAATTAGTCTCTAAGATAAATTAATTAATAAGATAATACTTATTATATCAAAATAATGCCCAGTTCAGTGACTTCAGTCTCATCAACTAATGGAGTCAAAACGAAATTAAAACTAATACTTATTTTCCAAAACGATTATTTTCAATTTTTTTCAAATTAGTCAATTTTCGAAATAAAATCTTATAAAAAAATATCTCTCAGCTTTGCTCAAAAACTGTGAATCAATTAAAAGTGAAGAATCTTACTTTGGTTTTCATATTAAATGAATATTTTACATCAAAAATAGACTAATTTGAAAAAATATCTAATTATATATGATCAATTTGGAAAATTTGTATATGCTTTAATGTCGTTTTAACGACTGTTAGTCGGGAGACTAACAGCTTGTTCTTTAGGACTTAAACTCTTAATTTCTAGTTTCTTCAAGTTTATTCTAGTTTCTTCCGGTTCCTTCCAGTTCTTCCAGTTTCTTCGAGTTCCTTCGAGTTCTTTTTCAGTTTCTTCCAACTATTCTCATTTTCTTCAAACTTTTTCTACTCCTCAATCAATTACTCGAAAAAGATATATTTTTAATGTAATTATTATTATTATTATTATTGCTGTTGTTGTTGTTACTATTATTATTATTATAATCGTAATAATAATAATAATAATAATAATTATAATTATAATAATAATAATAATAATAATAATAATTTATAACAACAAGAATTGGAATGAAAATAATATAAAAGTACACTAAAATAATTTTTTTAAAATGTTTTTTAGGTTTTCAAATTTTTTGAAGTTTTCCGGTTCCTTCCAGTTTCATCCAATTCCTTCTAGTTTCTATCAATATTCAGCTCTTTTTTTCCAGTCCTAAAGAACATGTTCTAAACAGTGCATTATTTTCAATTAGTAATTACCATCTCGGTAATTAAATCATTTTGGAAACTAATTTGGGAAAACACATTGTTATTGAGTACCATTTTAAGAATTTACTCAACCAAAAAATAAGGTTTCGTATTGGATTTTTCATTTGGATGACAATAAATTCCATTAACTATCATCTACTCCTTTTTCACTAAATGAATTATAGTCTGCGTTTAACGTTTAAAATCTTATGATTTTTAAAAATTTCATTTTCAAATTGATATAAAAATAAATAATAAAAATTACTCCATATATTTAAAAAATAATCAAAAAGTCTACAATACAAGAGATCACAAGAATATTTTATTTTATCAAATGAACATTGAAAATACTCAAACAAACAAAGTTATCAATGGTCCGTAATAGTAAAGAAATAAACCATTTTGGAAGCCCTAATTCATGCCATGCCCTTCCCCCTGATATGGAAGCCCAAATTTCCACGTAATGGAGGGTGCTGGGATGTGATGCAGCGCGCTAGAGGATAAGAAAATCATCAGTTTTATCAACAGAACATTGTAGGTTGATAAAACCACCTAAGTCCTAAAAAAGATTTGACTGGTGAGTCGGGTCGTATCCTAAAAAATCAGAGCTCAGTTACTTGACTAGTGTAAGTTTTCCAAGATATATGGCTTCATGCATGTAAATCTCATATTGTCATCTCTCTTTCCTGGTCTTTATTTGCCTGCAATAGTTTCCATTGACTGGATAGTTATAGGCATTGGACATTAATTAGTGCAAAAGACAAATGTTTTGGGCATAGCAACTAACACTGTGTAGCTTTACACTAGTAAAGTTAACATTTTTTTCCCAATAATGCCAATATGGTATTTTTGTTAACCTGCTGATACAGCTTATAGAATAAGCATTTTGTAGTTAGAGCATAAAACCTTTTTTGGGCGTACAAATCTTGTCCGCACTTGAGGGGACATGTTAAGATATAAAGCTTTTTTTGAGTCTACAACCGCAAGTTTGAGTTTTTGGTTGAATAGATATTTCTTCTCATATGCCAGATAATAGTAAGAAACGAGGCCATAATCACCATTTTGACAAAAATAACATGTGCAATATGTTTGGTAACACACAACAACAACAACAACCCAGAAGTATAATCAGAGAGGTTGATATTAAAAGAACACCTTGGCATTACAAGCTCTTGGTTAACATCCAAGTACGTTGACGACCTTGGCCTTGTATATAGTAGCCACAACACAAGTCCAGCTTGCAAAATCGTCCAAGAGTTGGGTATATGCAAACCTACAAAACCTGTTGAAGAGTGTTGTCCCAAAAAAGCCTAAAAATCCAACTGCATATCCAACACCCATGCTTGCGAAAAACCCGTTGCCGATAAGCTTATCCGTGTCCTCTTCTTCATCAAATCCAGGAGGAGGAAGAGGAAGACGGGTTTGTTCTTCTCCTGGACAGTGTTTAGGGAGCGGGTCTCCGCAAAGCCCAGGATTCCCCATGTATGCACTTGCATCAAAGCTCTGAAGTTGGGTGCCTTTTGGGACTTCACCTGAGAAGTTGTTGTTGGAGATGTTTAGAACACCAATGCCGTCAATGAGTGCAAGGCTTGGAGGAATGACACCAGACAAATGGTTACTTGACAAATCAAGAGCATTCAAGTTTCCCATGTCACCAATCCCCTGAGGAATCTCTCCAGTTATACTGTTTCGCGACAGATTTAAAGAAACTAACCCGACAAGCGTTGTGATATCACTTGGAATTTGGTCACTCAGCATGTTGGATGATAGGTCAATGCTCTTTACAAGTCCCAAAGTCCTCCTGAATTCATGCACCGTTCCTTTCCATACAAGTTCTATTTTCTCCTCTCGCCTTGTGTAAAGAGTTGAAAACTTTCCGGGAGTAGGGATTTGGATAGGATAAGAAATGCCTGCATTGACACTTCCTACTGTACGCATTTTAGTTAACTTACCAATGCACTTGGGAAGACTTCCTGAGATGCGGTTCATGGACAAGTCCAACAGTTGAAGAGATTGGAGACTACAAACTCTTGAAGGTATGCTTCCATTGAAGTGATTGGATCTTAGGACAAGTATAGCAAGGTTTGCTAGACTTTCACCTATCCAACTCGGTATGGGTCCTGAAAAACTATTGTGGCCCACATCTATAGCTACCAATTCTGAGCAGTTCTTCAAGGACGAAGGCAGTCCACCGATGAAATCGTTGTTGCCAAGATGCAGCGCCTTGAGTGACAGCAATGAGCCAATGGACGTAGGGAGTATGCCCGACAGATGATAGTTGTGTGCCAAGTTGAGAACTGCCAGACTGTTGAAACTAGACCAACAATCCGGAAGGGTACCCGAAAGTTGATTGAAGGAGATATCCATAAACACCAAACAAGCTCGGCCCTTGAGGTCACATATATCTTTGAGTTCTGTGAACTTGTTCTTGGAAAGGTACAGTGTGGACACATTGAAGAAAGATGCTGGAATGGGACCTTCCAATTGGTTGAAACTGAGGTCTACTTCCATATAAGGGAAGTTCGACATTGAAATGTTTTCAAGTCTTCCCCTTAGTTGGTTGTTAGAAGCATTCAAGACATGAAGCATGTTTGGTATTGATCTGTTCCAGAACCAGGAAGGGATTGAATCTGAAATCCCAGCATAGGAAATATCAAGCACTGAATAATTGACTTGAGTTCTCAGCCAGTTTGGGAAACCAGGGCCCAACTTGCAAGAACTAAGGGATATTGTTGTCAATCCAAAAGGAGGAACCCAGTTGGAGGTCACATTGAAAGTGAGATTGTTAGAAGAGAAATCCAAGTCCCTTAGTTTGGAGAGCTTCAGGAAATGATCTTCCGAAATGACCCCTCCTAAAAGGTTACCTGAAACATCTAAACTCTCAAGTTGTGAGAGTTGGCCAATACTGGGATGCAGACTCCCGTGTAGACGGTTTGATCCAAGGTTCAGGGACTTCAAAGAGTGAAAAGTAAAAACGGAGGCTGGAATTTCGCCTTCCAGTGTTGTGTTGGAAAGATCAAGATGTTCAAGATTCATTGAATAACTGTTGGTCCCAATCAAAGATGAGATGGTGTTGCCAACCAACAAGTTGTTACTGAGATCCAAGCTTTTCAAATCATGCAACTCCATTAATAGAGGAGGGCTGGGGTACATACCTCTTGTGGAAAGATCTAAAGAAGAAAGATCAAGCTTGATGACATGACCTGTGGTTTCATCACACACTACTCCATACCAATTGCAGCAATCCATTTCTTCTTCTTCTTGATTTCCCCAAGAAGAGAGAAGGTCATTCTTGTCCAAAAGATTGTCCTTAAACTTGAGGAGTGCTTGTATCTCTCCATCAAAGCATTTGTTGGATGCAGTGAAACTCAGAACAAAGCAATTTATTAGCACTGCAATTTGAAGGGACAATAGGGTAGCCATTCTTGCTAAACCTACCCTCATCTTCATCTTCTTCCAGATATATGAAATGGCTAAGAGAAAAGACTACCAAGTCAAGAGCTGCACCCAAGTATGACCAATTCTTAGTCACCACTAACCAACATTGTCATGGACGAATTGGTCAAACATAATCAGATGATTAGACATTATTTATAGGCTTCAAAAGCTCCCCAAAGATATGATTTTAGATTGAAACATTTTAGAAATAGAGAATTGTAATTGGACAACTCTAAACATTTTGACTAACTAAAAGGTGAGGGCCATTTCATTCCTTCTTGATAATCCATGTATGCATCTAATGTATGTGTTAGAAAGATATATTTTGTAGAAGAGATAGGTTGACACAAATATGTCACAATTAAAACTATGTAGCCCCAAACAATTGTGGTGGACATCTTTTCCTCTCCAATTTTTGCCCATATCATGTGTACCTTAATTTTTTTAATATATCAAAATAATAATAATGATCAATTAAATGCAAATAAAAGTTCACTTTAGAAAAATCTTCATCTCAAAATTAACATCAGTTAAAGAAGTCTACACTGAATAAAATGCTTTTTGTTTATGAATCTGTATATTGTAATTTATGGCAATAAGGGGAAAAAACACCATAAAAAAGGGTACAAAAAGCAGAGGCAGGGAGTTGCAGTGAAACAAGGAGAAGGGATTAAATGGACAAACGAGACAAATAATATCCTCAAGATTTATGCTTTGGTTTACAGTTCAATTGAACCAAAATGAGAGAAATATAAGGAATGAAACGAAACTGAAATATAACTAAAAGTTTTTAATAGACCACAAATATATTAAATAAAAGGAAAAGGACTCATGGTGAAGACTCCACTAATAAACTATTGCAGAATCTGAAAAAACTTTTAGATCAAATTTAAGCCTTCTTGGCTATGAGATCCTCAATCAAATCTGCAGCATCTTGAACAGTTGCAATACTCTGGGCACTGTCCTCTTCAACTGTGATTCCAAACTCTTCCTCAAGCCCCATCACAATCTCAACCTTCATCAAAAATCATAATAAGCGAGTTTAAACATAGAGAAAGTACCAAAATAAAAACATTCAAATTTAACACAAAATAAGAGTTCGCACTAGGACAATTTAGCATTGTATATTGGCGTTCTACAACACTTTTTGGTTGGCATTATAAATCTGTTTTGGGAATGAAAACATTGAACTTTTTGTTTAATACTCTCTATGTTTTAGACAAGTTTAGTATTTTTCCATTTAATAAATACAAATTTAACCCCAGAAATGACACGAAGGAAGAAAGACAATAATGCTCATAAGCAATCATTGTCTTTCTATGATACATTGGTGATGCCAATCTTGGTGTCATTGTGTTTAGCATTGATTAAAACTTCCTTAAGTTTCTAAACAATAAGCCATACATATTCACAAGTATTATTTAGACAAAATACTGAAATGGGTATTGTATAATAATTATTGTAACTTAGCACATTGTGAGTTAAAACTACAACATAATAAATTTAGAAAGAACATAAGAAAAAATGAATAGAAGCACTAAAAGAATGGGTGCATACAGTGTCAAGAGAATCAGCACCAAGAGCTTGAAATTTAGACTCTCCAGTAACCTCAGTATCAGGGGTAAGAGCCAATTGCTTCTTCACAATTTCACAAACTTTGCTGACAGTTTCGGGTTTGGCCTGGCGAATCCGCAGAAACAAGGATTAAAATGATTTGGTAACAAATGATTACAAAATGAAGAGAATAAAGAAATCATAAATAAGTCTTTGAGAGAAAGAACAAGCATTTCATCCATACACTAACACTAGTTTCTTCAATACGATAATTATCAAGCAAACCAAGCCCTAACTATAGTTTGAAATAAATGTTCAATATTGGCCTAGAATCTCATCAACAAGCAAGTGCTATAGACGACTAGATGACATCGAAAACAATTGAATAAACCAGTTTCTTCGGCGAGCAAGAACATAGGGAAAAATGGCATACCGCAGAAGTGACAACAAGTCGGCGAGTAACTGGGTGGAGTTGGAGAGACGGGAACTTGTTCCCATTGAAGGAGAAGGAAATGGCCTTCACATTTGATGCCCTGCGGATCCCCTGTAAAAACATTCAACAATACGAAAACCAAATCGTTCATCAATAATCCCCAGCCAAATCAGAAATCGAATGCCAAATCCAACTGAATCCTATAACCACAAGCCAAATCGAATCAACTCCCTCCCAAAAACAGACGAGATTGAATTCACGAAACCGTCGAAAGCCTGGAACAATCTGGACGGAACATTCCGGCATCCATACCAAAAAAAATCTCAAAAGAAGAAGAAGAAGAAGAAATGAACCTGGATTTGGTTGAAGGAGACGGAGAGGGAGACGGAGGATCCGGTGACAGAAGCCATTGAAGGATCGGCGAGAAGAGAGAAAGAAGAAGACGGATCTGAGATGGCGGAGAAGACGAAGAGAGTGTGTGCTTTGCTGTGAAGGGTTGAAGTGTACACTTGCCCAAACGGAACCCACTCCTTCGCCTTTTATAGCCTCTTTTTTCCTTTTGGGTTTGTTGATGTTTTTCAGTGTATTGAGGAGTCAGTCAGGCTTCCTTCGATATCATCGAAGCTTAATGCAGTGTTTGGTTGCCAACTCAATCAATCCCCCCAAAATATAAGTCATGGGTGGCCCGGAGGGTGTGTAAAGTCGTCAACCGCAATGATCTTTTAAAATTTTAAAATATCATATTTTTAAATTCATCATTAATTTTGAAACATAAGTATTCTAAAATAATAAAATAGGGCCCAAAATGTAAATTTCGAACCGGACCAATTTAATTTTTTCATTTTTCGAGGTCGACCCTGGATTATAAGTCATCTATAGAGGGGTTTTATACGTCATGTGGCAACCGCCTCATCCAAGTGTTCCATAACGTAAAAGCAGTGGCGGATCCAGCCAACACTCGCACTGGGGGCACGCCCCCAGTGATTTTTTTATACATCATAACATTTAAAAATAACTTGAAAGTTTATAAGAGTGCCCCCAATTTTTAAGAATGTCTGCCCCTAGTGACTTCTTTTTCTGGATTCGCCATTGCGTAAAAGTGACGTGGTGCATAAATTATATTTTATTGTATCCGTGATTGATGTTCAAATGAGTTTTTGTAATTTAAATGTTGTAGTTTCGCCATTTTGTGTTGGACTAGAGTTGAAGCATTTTGTTTGTCGTCATGTTGTTGAACCATGTGCTGCTTCACTTGGTCCATCTTATAGCGTGAGGAACTTCTTATCAGCAAAGGATTCTAGTTGTCTGAAAATATTAGTTGTCTCATATTTCTTATGGCTCCGTGATAGGACAAGGAGATCGACTCAAGTGTGGAGTCTTTTATTGCTTCTTGTACAAGAGGTCAAAAATTAGAGAAAAATATGAGTTGTCTCATATTTATAGGGTTTCTTTTTCCCTATATATGCTCAGCCTAGCCTCACTGATCAAGAGGCCGAAAATCAGAGAAAAAATCTGAGAGACATCTCATCAGATATTTCATCGCAGAAAGAGATCATGTCACTTATCCATATTCTAGCGTGATGTTTTGGAGTTCAGTTTCATCACAAAATTATCCACCATCTCAAAAGAAACTATTATATGTAATCACACATACATCTTTGTTAACTTCATAACATATTTCAAATTTTTGTCTTATTACATTATTTGTTTTAGGAGAATTTAACTTAATAGTATTAAAATATAGTGACTTTTCAATGTAGTACCATATATTTTTATTTCCCATTGTAGTACAACTGGTCATTGCCCGCTGGTCATTGTTCAAGTAAATGTCCACCATTAGTAGACATTATTCAAACTAAATGTCCACCATCACTGGACATTGTTCTCGCTACTAGATATTATTCAAGTACTGTAACGCCCTGAAAACTATTTACGGAATAAAAAAATCTCGCCACTATACAATTAATTATAAATCTAAAAAAGATTTTACAAACGTTATTAATCTTTTAAAAAAGAAAGCTTGATGTGACTTTTAATAAACTATTCATTACTTTCCCTTTTTTTACATCCCAAAATAAAGATTTATATAAATTTTAATACATGTACATCAATATTAAACTATAACTTTTTTTCAAAGGAGATATTTTATAGTTAGAAATTATTTATCAAATTACATCATATATAATTATTAATGAATTTAAAATAAATGATATTTTATTTTTTAGATTTCAAAATTTAGAATAAAGTTCGATCATGATATACCCCCTTTTTAGTAGAAAACATTCACACTTTCACACTACTTTTGTTTATGTACACGTGGAACTCTACTTGTAAAATTGGTCAATCCGTATCTAGAATCTATTTAAATTACAAAACCCAATTACATTAAAATTGTAATAAGAATATAAAAAATTAAAATCTAATTGAAAAATTAAACTCCGTATAACTTTCTTTTTGAAATAATAAAGAAAATATGTAGATTTAAAAGATTATAATGATAAAATACATATTGATATAATAGTTACACTGATGGATATATGTCGCTTTCAATATCCCGACAGACACATGGACTATCGCCGGCCAACTAGAATAAGGGATAAAAGAGAGGGGAGATGGGGTGTGGGTGGGAATCTTGGTGAAGGACAGAGACAATGGAGAATGAAGAGAGAGGGGGGAAGAAAAGCAATCAAGGCACTCGGGATGGGGATGTCGGAGACACTGTTCGACACCAATGCCAAATCACCTCGCGATCCCCTTCTTTATCGCCACACCAATCCGCTTTATAAGATTAATTTTTAAGCAATAATTTCTTTTTGTATACCGCCTCTGGATTCTCTCCGATCTTGCAATGCAGTGTACGAATTAACGTATAGTTGCATTAGCATTTTCACAGTAATTTTTTTTATAAATTATTAACCGAGCAACACACGGTTTCGAATCTAGGAGGATGTGTTTGGATCGGGGCGGGGTGAGGGGTTTACCAGGGGTTTAGGGGGTAGGAACCGTCAATTTTACGAACGGGGCACCGGAGCAGCCTCGGGTCATCCCATGACATTGGAACCCAATGTCATGAGAACCTTGGTGGTAGAAGCAAATAGTCAACAAATTTCAAAATGGCACTATTGCTTGATACTCACAAT